AGGGTTTTCACTGTTGAACATATATTTTTGATAAGGCCAACAATGAGTTGCTGCTTCTTATGTTTTTGGTAAATTCAATTTCAAGTGAGGTAATGATAAAAAAATAAAATATAGTCACAAAAAAGGAGATAAATGCATTCATGGACAATTCATTTACAATAAATCATTAAGGGGCATTAGAATGTTATAGAAGGCTGTTCCCATTCTCTGCCCTTGGTTTCGTATGAATTATCACTCCTGTCCAGATTGAAGCCAGTATTTGAGATTGAAATTGGCACTTGGTGGGAGCCTGGATCTGAAAAGAAGTAGAAATTAATTCTTTGGTTCACAAGGTGATGGTCCTAAAATACATAGTGGAAATGGGGGAGCAAAGCAATCATGCAAGGGTGCTGCATGAAAGCTTGTGCAATGATTAGGCCTGGGCAGAAAGGTTTATGACCTTCCCGCCAGTGAGACTGCTCCTTGCCAGCCTGATGAAGCAAATGCCAAGGGCATGATAAATTCACAGGGGAAAAATAAAGCCCAATGCACCCTGCCATTACAACAGATAAAAGGCAGCCAAAAGGGAAATTGCTCAACCACTTCTCTCTTTTTGTGATTTTCCTGTATCCAACCAGGCATGAGAGCTGATTTTGTGGGATTTGACCCACAGTTCCATAATAACCTTTGGTTGTGGTAGTCCAAACACTTCCAAGTGGCATTTAAGAACATTACTAATTCTATTTAAAATTCATCATGTTCTATCAGAAGCACTTCACATTTGTTTTGCGTTTTTGAATCCATGCTTATTCATAGGAGGTCAGTTGCAAAGACGTGATCATAAATATCTGAGACGCTATCACATACACAAAGGTAGGGTTGGTCCCTACCAACAGCAACCAACTTCGTTTGACAGCTGTGTAGAAATTTGGAGCAGAAACACCTCTTATTCTCATTGTCAGTATCTCAGTCTGTTTTGGTTTTGTGTGAGAGATGACTTGGTGGAATAGCAGGGTCCTGAAAGAATGAACTTTGATGATTTGTATGCAGGTTGTTACAACTCCTTTGCAAGAAAAACAAGAGAGCCAAGTGTTGGTTTGTTTACTGACTTACCTCAAATTTCAAAACACTTAATAACAATACAAAACACCTGATGTGATTATATATGGGATGGGTTCAATATATTGTTGGTATACCTGTGAATTGGTAACATTTTTTTGAAAAAATGTTTATTTATTTTGAGAGAGAGAGAACACAAATGGGGGTGAGGTTCAGAGTCAGAGAGTGAGAGACAGGGAGGAAGACTGAAAGAGATCCCGAGCAGGCTCCACACTCAACACAGAACCCGATGCAGGGCTCAATGTCACAAATGTGAGACCATGACCTGAGCTGGTATCAAGACTCTGACAATCACCAACTGAGCCACCAAGGTGCCCCAGAATTGGTAACATTTTAGAAGACCAGTGATCAAGTTTTAAAATTAGGCATAGCCATTTGACTCAGCAATTCATTTTCTAGGAATTTACCTCTAAAAAGATAATCTGCAATATGTGGGAAGATTTATTTATAATTATGTTCAATACAAAATCCAAAGAGAAAACAACCAGGCAAGCAAAAGATGCTTCAATAAGGAATTAGTTAAATAAATTACATGTAGCCATAGCTTGGACAGCACTGCACCCAATAAAAGGCAAGTGCAGAAGAACACTTAACGGAGAGGTTACTATTGCCAATGTATTGTTAACCGAAAAAGAAAATAAGCTAAAAAATGCAGGCTTGGCAGCCTATATGTTTGTATATGTACACATATGTATATCCATGTACATACACACACACACATATATATATATACATAGACATATATATCAGTTATAAAATATATACATATATGTATCAAATAATTAAGCTATACTGTGAGGTGAGATTTTATGAGAGTTTTTGATTTAATGTCTGTGCTTTTCTATTTAACATTAATTAATTACAAAAAGAACTCAGAATATTAATTTTTTTTGCTTTCCATTTTATTTTTAAATGTTTATGCAAACCTTTTATAACAAGTAAGGTCTTTTTTTTAACTCTGAGGAAAGAAATGAAGCAGAATATTTTTGAAGGGGAATATTTTTGAAGGGGAATCTGGGTGATTTAAGAAGTAAAAATGTCACGGGGCGCCTGGGTGGCTTAGTCTGTTAAGCGTCCGACTTTCGCTTAGGTCATGATCTCGCAGTTCATGGGTTTGGGCCCCGCTTCGGGCTCTGTGCTGACTGCCAGCTCAGAGCCTGGAGCCTGTTTCAGAGTCTGTGACTCCCTTTCTCTCTTCCCTCCCCTGCTCACGCTGTCTCTCTCTCTCTCCTAGGAATAAATAAAAAAAAAATTAAAAAAAAAGAAGTAAAAATGTCACTTACTGAATATCTCTATATCTCAATTATAGGGGATTTTCTAAGTCCTTTGTCAGTACTAAATATTAAAACCCTAACTATACAAGGCCAAAATTATTATCATTCTGTGGCTACCTCATGGCAGATTTGAGTCTACCTCTCCCATAATGAATATGTGGCACAGCATATGATTTGGAATAAATCTTTAAAAAATTTAAAAAAATTTTTAATGTTAATTCATTTTTGAGAGACAGAGTACAAGCAGAGGTGGAGCAGAGAGAGAGGGAGACACAGAATCAGAAGCAGGCTCCAGGCTATCAGCACAGAGCCTGATTCGGGGCTCGAACTCACAAACTGTGAGATCATGACCTGAGCTGAAGTCGGCCGCTCAACCGACTGAGCCACCCAGGTGCCCCCTTTTAAAAAAATTTTTAATGTTTTATTTATGTCTGAGAGAGAGAAAGAAACAGCGTGAGCAGGGGAGGGTCAGAGAGAGGGAGATACAGAATCTGAAACAGGCTCCAGGCTCTGAGCTAGCTGTCAGCACAGAGCCCGATGCAGGGCTCAAACCCACAAACCGTGAGATCATGACCTGAGCTGAAGTCAGATGCTTAACTGACAGAGCCACCCAGGCGCCCCTGGAATAACTCTTTTAAATGCAGAGCAAAGAATAACTCTCGAAACTGGGCAGAATTATTGCCTGATGCAACATGGAATAAAATAAAGCAAACTACACAAGGCTTTTATGAAATGAGTTCTCTATATTTTTCATAAATGATCTAACAAAACTGTCTTCTCCACAATACTACACTGAACTTAAAAAACAACAACAACTTTACTTTTAAATTTCAAATATGTTAACTAGAAAGGAATCCAATACATGAATGTTCAGGAACACATTGCCTGATTTGTGTTATGCCATATTGAGTAGCAAATAACTGAGTAGGAGGTATTGAGATAAAAGATAATATTATGGGAAGGGGTCAAAGCTAAAGCTAGAGTGTAGGGACTCAGTTGGAAGTCCTGTGGAGGAAGAGACAGATGAGTCTCTGGGTAAGTGTATCTGGATGTAATGAAGGGAGAGAAGTGAAAAGGTGATGGTTCATTAAATATAACTGCAGAGACTACATAATATTCCCTTTGGCCATCCCTCAATGTACATGTCTTACACATTCAAAGTTTGAAACAATCTCTTGGTACCTAAATCTCTAAATCCCAGTTTGTATGAAATCCCAGTCTATATTTCCTTTTCTTCCCTAAAGTTTATTTTATTTGTTTTGAGGGAGAGAGGGAGAGAACACAATTGAGGTAATGTCGAGAGAGAGAGAGAACCCCAAGTAGGTTCTGTGCTGATAGCACATAGGGCTCCATCTCACCAACTGCAAGAGCATGAGTTGAGTCAAAATTAAGGGTCGATCACTTAACTGACTGAGCCACCCAGATGCCCCAAGAATTTCCTAACTCACAAGAAAATTGCAGTAAGTCTTAACTCAGTGAACTTGCATCCCTTGTTAATATTCATTCCTAAGCATAATATGAGCATCTTAAATTGAGTTATTTTTGGTCCTCATGTAAGAACTGTAGTAATATATAACAGATAGACTACAGAGTTAATTCATTTCTTCAACATGCCATCAACTCCAGACAGAATATTTAGGCATTTGGGTGAGAGATTCAGTGAAAGAATGGTTTAGTTGATATATAACCTGGCATTACATCATTCTGAACTGTGTATGAATAGGGATTATAAAAAAAAGGATTGCTAGTTTGCTGGAATGCAGCCTCTGTTTTATAGGACTTCAGTTTCCTGGTGTAATGTAATATCTTTGCTTTGTATTATAGCTCCATACCTAATTATGTAAGTGTACTTTGTTTAAAACAGGAGATAAAGGCCAAACCATATTTGACTAAGAAGGCTTACGCTGTGCATGATTTAAACAAGCATTTTTATATGGCTATAGAAATAATAATAAGAAGATACAGATAAAGATTAGATAAAGTTATATTTTCTCTTTTATTCCATTCCCATATATCCAACACCAGGCACTGTCCTCCCTTACCCGACTGCTCAGCAACCTAGCTTTCCAATGAGCTTCCAAGTAACATTTGTTTCCAGTTTCATTTGGAATTCTGTTTTATTTTGTTCTGCTTCTGTTTCAATGACAAGGGAACAATATATGGAAATTTTAGACTATAAGTATTAATTTTAAGAATCATTTCCTTGTTCCCTTTTACCATTGCTCCTTGACTTTTTTCCTGTCACTTTTCTCCCTCATTCTCCCTCATTTTTGTGTCATTTTTCTTTCTTTACCTATCTTTGCTGCAGTCTCCTTTCTCTCTGTTTTAGAAATGAGTGGTGTCCTTGTGCTGACTAAAGTAGATTTAATGCTGTTTCCTTTTCATGTTACCTAGTGCTCACTGGGTACTTACTCAGCATGTCATCATATCTTCACAGTCTAAGAGGTGGGTCCTCTTATTATGCTCGTATTACAAGTCAGGGCTTAGCTGACTTATGGCCACACAGCTAGGAGTTGTGTTTTATCTCAAGATGAACACACTTCTGTCTGAATCCAGATTCCATGTGCCTACTCATTATCAAATGTTTTCTCCCCTTTATATATTTTTTAAAATATTTATTTATTTTAGGGAGAGCACAAGGTGGGGAAGACAGAGAGAGTGTGACTGAGGATCCTCAGTGGGCTCTGCGCTGACGGGATCACAGGAGCAAGCCCGGTATGGGGCTCAAACTCAGGAACCACGAGATCATGACCTGAGCTGAAGTCAGCCTCTCAACCGACTGAGCCACCCATCAGCCCCTGAATGTTTCTCCCCTTTAATTAAAGTCCCCTGTGCTGAGGTATTTTCCTTCTACATGATTCCAGCTCTTCGCAGATCTGTTGTAATTCAGAGAGCCATACATCCTTGCCATTCAGCATTACTTTCTCCTGCTTCTACTTATTCAGAGTCCTGTTCTTGTGTTTGCTGAAGCTTGTAGAATAAATTAGTTAAATTGAGTAAAGGATGTCATGTTCTTATTTTCTAGTTAGGAAAACAAAGGTTCTTGGTTGACAGAAGAAAGCTCAACCAACCCTAGGTTGGTTTTTCAGAAACATAAATTCTGTGTTCTCTAAAGTTTTGTTATCTTCCATCCATTTCAACATGTATATGGGAGATCTTCCTCTGGTCTGTAGGATCCTAAAAAGAGCAGATAAACACCTCTATGGGGATCAGGCAAAAATGTATACCTCTGCTCTGATCTCTAATTTATAACTTAATCTAATATTTGACAATAACCACAAGTTATAACAACCACCATCTTATTGTATTCTCACAGTGTGGTAATGGGAGCAGGAGTTTATGTGCCTTTTAGTATTTTAGGAAACATAATTACCTAAAGATGTTAAGTTACTTAATGAAAAAAATAATTCAACATCTTAAGTACCTTCTCCATGCTCTGCACAGAACTAGAGGTTTGCACGTCTTATCTCTATTATATGGTTCTTTTTATGCCCTTGTGCTACATAAAATCATCATATCCAAAATGAAATTTGTCATTTTCCTCCAACTACTTATTTTCACTTATGGCACTGCAATGTGTGAGGTCAACCTCTCTTGCTAGTTAGAAGTTTGAGAATATTTACCATCTCTCTCTCTTTCTGTTTTAGCCTTAATTTCAGTTAATCACCAAAACCCACTGATTTTTTTTAAAATCCACTTTGGTGACACTGCTACATAGTTCCAGCCCATCATTCCATGATTACATTATCACAATTATATCTAAACTGATTTTCCTTCTTTAATGTTTCCTTTCTCTTCCTCCTTGGAATGATGCTATTTCTAAGTCACTTTCCTCAAAATGCTTTTCATCATCTTAAGAACCTATACTGGCCCCATTGCCTCCAGTCCCAATTCTAAATTATTCATTCTAACTTTCACACTCTGACCTCCACCGCATGAAAAAGTACCTTTCCTGTTCAGCATAATGTCCTGCACCATCATAAGGCAAACGTTTTGTTCCAGTTAGAATAGCTTCCACATAGTTTCACACGCATCCACATACTCACATGCTGCCAATTTCAGCCACTCTGCCTTTATTGATATTGTCCTTCTTGTCTAGAATTCCTCACTTTTTCTTATATTTGAGTCCATTTGTCAATACCCATAGCCATCTCTTCCTCCTTTCAATTCACCTTCCCTTTCTACTTTCCTTCAAACATTGCTGTTTCTGTGTTACATATCCTGCTAGGACAGAAACACAGGATGCATGTGAAAAAGTCATAATTCTTTGTGCTTAAGGAACTCATAGTCAAGTGTATCAAGAGTTCCTGCAACATAACGTCATACAAATGTTGCTTGTGGTTGCTCCATTCTATGAAGCATCAGAGAATTGTCATCACTTTAATGATCATCAGAAAAACAAGTCAGCAGTATATCCATTGTGCGAAACAATGTGTCTGGCTTTGAATATCTAAGAAAGAATCATATGGTTCCTGAGCAAGAGATGTATGATTTAGCTGCGAAAGCAGGTAATATATTAATACATTTTGAAATGCAAACATATATATGATAGTTGATAAAATATGACTCAAAAAGTGAACAAGGGAGGAAACTATGAACTAGAAAATTCAGGAAAAGCTTCACAGAATCAAGGGGGCTTCAGCTGGTTTTTGGAGGGGTGGGGAATGTGACTAACAATAGTGGCTAGATGGGAGCAAGAAGTTTCATATCTTTTGATTCTACATTGCCTTCTAGTGAATTCTAATTCCTTTAAGTCTGTGGATTCTGTCTCACTGAGTTCCTGATAGGCTGCTCCAGGATGGTATGTGTATCATGTGTTTGTGTCTATCTTGTGGGACATACAGAACTGACCTGGGCAATAAAAGATGACAGTAGATTGTGTATAAGCATTAAACTGTGCAGGCGATAATACTGTGAAGTTAAATTTATCACCTTTGAGTTACTCTTTCTACAACTCATGCAAGTTGTACAATTTCAAGTTAATTTCCTAATAGTTAGGAAACCCAGTAAGTAAATGAATTAAATAATTTCATCAAGTATCTCTAAGTCATGTTAGAAGAATCTTCAGGGTGACCTAGAATCAGAACACTCACATCTTCCCATTTTCCATTACGATTATTTATAGATATCTGTGAAAGAAGATTATTATTTGCTTTTTAAATACATCAGTTTTCAAAAGCAGGCACTATATATATAGTAATCCAGCCACTGTGTTTTGTTTGATTTCAGTCACACAAAGCACCATCTACTATGCTATGAGCTTCCATGTGCATGTGGGTGTATGCATGCATGTGCACATCTGTGCGTGTAAGACAGAGAAATGATAGTGCATTAGGCACTGTATTTCTGCCATTCATGACATGGCATCAGAGAGATCCTGTCCCATTTCACTGCCACAAGATCGGGAAGCTGAACAAAGGGAAGGCTTTCTACTCTTATGCTTTAATGCATACCTGGTTGTGTTTCAGATCACATAGAGAGTGTTTGAGAGGTCAAATAGAGGATATGAAAAGAAAAAGTGAAATGGGCATATGGGTATGATTTTGTCTTCTTTCTGAATCACTCATTCTTGTTCTGTACATGGTTAGTCATTTCATCTATTATTCATTTCTTTACTAAAAAAATACTAAGTGTTGACTTAAAGATGAATAGGTAGAAAAGTTGGCATCCAAATACCTTTGCAAAGAAAAATATCCTTAATCGCTGAAGAAATACAAGATACAGAGATGTACGTAAAATTTGTGTCCAATTTGCAGCTACTCAGAAAAGATCGGTACACGAGGTTATTTGCTTCCAGAATTTGGGTCAAAGAATGTCATCCTCTCTATTTAGGGATGGAAAAGAGTGTCCCAGTAGATGCTTCTTGAATCTTAATGTGGCATAAATTGGAACTAGCTTGAAAAAGGTAAAGATAACATCAAACATGATTCCTATACACATGGGCACATGAGTAATTTTTAAAAACTTAGGTTTTAATGACATTTCTGCCATGAGGCTCTTCCTTACATGATTACTGTATACATGTATAGTAATTTTGATAACTCACTATGTGCCAGGCATTTACATACCTTATCTCAATTGTTCTTCAAATAGCTATTAAATTAAATGTTTCAATTTAACAAATGAAAACAGCACATCCCTGAGAGATAAAGTAACTTGCACAAAGTCACCTAGAATCTACCGAGTTCTATTTGAATCCAAAACCATCTCAAATTAGAAACCAGCAGTTCCCCCAAATTCCTGTTTCATGCGTAGATCATATGGCTTAAAGGGTAAGACTGATTATATATATTTGCTTACATATTTCTCCTGTTTATGTACATGTCGTGTCTGGGGCACAGTTTATTCCACTCTTTATTACTCTAGAATACAAAACAAAACAAAAACATGAAAATTGTGTGCGTGTGAATGTGTGTGCGAATGGAGGAGGGAGATAGACAGGTGTAAACAGAAGTTGTTCCCAAAATTATCCTCTGATAATTCTTGTGATAGAAATGAAGGAAACAAAGAAATTTTAAAAAGTGGTGTTTTGGGGTATCTGGGAGGCTCAATTAGTTAAATGTCTGACTCTTGATCTCGGCTCAGGTCATGAGCTCATGGTTTGGTTCATGGGATTGAGCCTCAGGTTGGGCTGTGTGCACTGACAGTGTGGGGCCTGCTTGAGATTCTCTCTCTGCCTGCCTCACTGCTCCTCCCCTGCTCGTGTGTGTACTCTTTCTCTCAAAGGAAATAAACTTAAAAAAATAAATAAATAAAAAGTGTTTTTTTCAAACAAAGAAGTTCAAGGTAAATGGAGTATAAAGCCTGATTCTGGGGGAGGAAGTTGGGATTTATGACTAAGTGAATTTACCATGCACTCCTCACAGGAACAGGAAAAACAATCTCTTTCAGTGCATTTTTCAATAAGGATCGACATTTGTACATTTTATGATAGAAATTATATGATGTAATGGCATTTATGAATTTGGGAATTTGTAAAATCTGCAAAATATATCCTTCCTGACAAGAGTCTACTAAAATGTTTCCCCAAATATGCTATGCAGAGTGCTGGCTTATGTTGTTAATGGGTGTTAAGTGAAAAGAAGAGTTGAGTAGTCTAATCAATTTGGAATTTTTTTGCCAAAAATAGTTAGATTTCTTTACTGTAGCACTACTACAGAGCATTTTATACTACTACACTACTACAGTGCTACTACTGTAGCACCACTCAGAGCATTTTATATGGTTAAATACATTTTAAATTTCCAAGAGGATATAGTTTATAATGCTCCCTACACTTACATAGCCATGGGTTCCTTTTTTTCTTAGAAACCTTCATAAGACTATTGTTCTCCATAAAACACTTTGTGATATTCTTTTCCACAGTTTAAGTAAAAATATATAAAACTCATATGTAGTCAGTTATAATGGCTACATGTGGGTGAAATGGATCTTTTCTATGTATTTTTAAGACTTAATATGGCTGAAGAATAGGAAATGTTTTACAAATCACTGCAGATCATTATTACATGATCATTATACACAGCTTGTGAAGAGTTTCTGTGCATTCAGTTTGACTAGTTCCATCAGAGATGCAGTTTAAGGAAACGTAATAAATCTTTTGTCACTCATTTCTCTCTGTGATTTTATAAGCATCTGGAAGCTTAGAATACATGGACAACAAAATGTACAAATGATGACTTGTCACATACTCATACAGAGCCCCTCCTCAATTAAACAAGACAAAATACTATCTCACTTTCAATTCTTTATATTAGCAGAAGGGATTTTTTAGGGGTGCCTCTGCTTCATACTAGTTCCTTTTTTCAAGTGTCAGCATGCTAAAAAATCTAGAATTAAGATAAAGGAGTAACCTGTTTTGACAAGCTTATTTAAATGCAAATGCTCCCTGAAGGAGCATGACTTTAGGAGTTAAATATGATTTCATTTATCCTAATAATCCCTCCCCCAGCCCCTTATGCAAGAGAGCCAGCCAAGCCTGAGAATTCTGCTCAGTTAAAT